GGAGAGGGCAGTGTGATTGGCCTCGCATCTAGTTATCCAGAGATGAACCAAAGCATTGTTGACACAAAGACAAGCCAAGTATTGGCATACAGTAAAAAACAGTAACAACAACCATTCTACTATGGCAGTAGCAACAAAATCAACAACAATAACAGATTCAGAGACAAATTGGATATTGACAGATTTTAAGGACCTATAAAAGCTACTACCATACCATTCTTAACACTAGAAACAAGATCCGTAATAACAGTTCAGACCCAAAAACAAATCAAATATTGACATACAGTAAATAGGTACTAAATAAAACAACTATACCACCATTAACAATAGAAAAGAATTCAGTAATATAGAGTCAACTACATGTCTAAGGACTAAGATAGCTTAATAGTAATACTAATAAAAATGGAGGGAAGAGGAAAATTGAAGGAGTAAAATTTTTAAAAAAGGGAAATAGGAAAAAAAGTGAGATAAAGGATCCAACTGAGTAACAGAAAATTAATAGAATTTGATAAAAGTAGCAGAAGAGATGAAGAAAAAGAGCAAAAGAAAAAAACAATGAAGAAAAAGAAATGAGTCCCCAAAGCCCCTCTCTGTTTTGGAATGAGTGATGTCTTTCCATGGTCTGCAGTACTGGAATCAAGCGGATATGAGAGAGGACTGTGAGCCACCATTATGCCTTGCTTTGCTTCCACACTCCGGCTTCTGTGTGTGAGTGCCGAGTCCTGCCATGTATTTCCTCTGGGCATGGCAGTCACTGGTGTCCGTCCTAGAGTTATATTCACTGTAGCTGCTGTCAGCTTCTCTGTCCCTCTGTACCCAAGTCAGTGCTTTTTCCATCTACCTTTGTAGCCTATGGGTTTGTAAGGTGCTCCCGGTGCTCCAAGAGCTCCTCTGCCTGGATGCCACTGGCTACAATGTGGCAGCCATCCAAGCTGATGTGTATCCCTGGTCACGTTGGCAGATAAGAAACCAAACAAACCACCCTGCATTCTATGCTGGGTGTAGACATTGAGGCAGGATAGAGAGGGTGCAGTCAGTCTGGACTTCATGCCAGAACTTTCAGACCCAGCTGTCTCTGAAAACCACATGTGACTGGCCTGGCTTCTCACCTACCAGGGCGGCACCTGACTCCTTCCCAGACTCAGTTTAAACTTCCCGCAGATCTGTGTCTCAGCCTTTGACCTCTCCATGCCTGCCTTTTAAGGACTTCTCCCATCCTGTCACTGACATGGTTACTGCAGAAACTCTAAAGTATAGTCATTCTGTAATTATTTTGTAGCTCAGTCTTGAACTATTTGCCCTTCCCAAAAAAACTCCTGATTAAACAGTCTCAAGTACAGCAGCACAGCAAAGGATTTCTTCTGCTCCAGCCTGCCATACATTCAGAGTAAAACCCCACACTAATTGGCAGATTACAGTAATCACAGACTTTCATGAAGCTAGGACTACTAACCCAGCCAGTTGTTTCTCGTTAGAGTTGCCAACCCTCTCTGGGGTTTACCTTATGTTAGCAGAGACAGGTCCTCCTCCCTAGAAGCCTGGATTGGTGATCCAGACTGCTTTCTTTGCTCTGTATCAGTTTCTCCGCTTCTCAGTAGTTCCTAGTTTTCCTTTCAGCTCTTAATCCCTGGTGATTAGGGATGTCAGAGAGGCTGTACTTCCAGGTCCCAGAGAGGCTGTATTTTGGTGCTGGTCTTTATTCTGCCTGTTTTTCTCTTAGTCCTATTTTTAGACTATGTAGACATTTCCCTTGTTAGGAATTACTGCTCACTTCACCCTGAGGAGTGAAAGCTTTTAAAAATAATGTCCTTGGTTACTGACACTAAATTTAAGACAGATGCAGGTCTCAAAGAAAATTTTCATCAATAACAAAGACAATATAGTTAATTCTTCATAACACCTTGGATATTCTTTTTAACATTAAAATGTTCTTTAAAAGTACAGTTCTGATGGTGCCGACTGAAGTTCTTACTTTGTGCCAATTACCATTCTGTACACTTAGAAAAATTTACAATTTTTAATGTGAAACACTGTTCTCAGTGTTTGACTTTTGTAATCCTCACAGCAGTCCATGAAGCAGCTACTGTGATTATTCTTTTACAGATGAACTGGAGCACTAAAAGGTTAAGTACCTAGGCTCAGTTTACACACTCTAACTTAGTGGGTAGAGCTGGAAGTCAAATACTCTTGACTAAGAGGAGATCAGAGAATTTTTCCTTTTCAACATTTTAAACAGTTGGTGATACTACATTGATTGTCTAAAGATTTCAGGTTTTTTTGTAGTACATGGAATTTTAAAATCCAAAACCTGATAAACTAAATTAACAGTGCCCTCATAACAACTCTTGACTTAACATCTTACCCAACTTAATGTTTAAGATCCTTCTTTACTTGAAAAATACCTCAGTTGGTTTGACAGAAGAGTTACTCTCATTCCCTTTTGTCTCTCATCACTCCTATGAGTGGCCAACGTCTCACTCCACTCCAGTCCATACCGTTAACATAAAGGAACCAGCAATGGGCAGCTCTTGGCCCTTGTACTCATCCAAGGATGAATCAGCACTCAAGCTGCTTAGAAGACCTCCCAGTGTGAGTGAGAATGGCCCCCAGCCTAGTAGAGTGGACACCGAGGTGCCTGGCCTTGTTCCCGCCCATGCTATGAGGGCCTCTGCCTTCTCAGGGCTTTTGTATTTTTAAATGAAAAGAATCCTGAATCAACAAAAGCAAACGGAACTGTTGCTTCCCTTAATTAGCTGCTCTAGCCTTTAGCTATTCTATCTGACCCGTCACCCATACAGTACAAAATATTTTTGTCTGGTTTTTCTGTATAAATATACTTTATTTCTAGTTATTGAGGGACTGTAATTAAAAGGCCTAAGATATTCTCAATTTTAAAAATTTTTTATGAACTAGAAAATACGAAGTTTAACTTTCCTGACTGAATTATAAAATGTCTTAGATTTTTTTACTTAGAATTTTAATTTATGTGAAAATACAGTACTTGAAATTTGCAAGTTAATTTATTATTAAAATTAGAGCTTTTTAAAGATAGATTTATAATAAAAAGACTAATCAGATACGATAATTTGGAATATTCAGAACAAGTGAATTTTTAATAACTTGTAATTCTCTTTTCCTGGAATTCTAAAACTGAAAGTTTTACAGTTAGCATTTTATCATGTCTACTTCTAGGCTCCTTTCTTAAATAAAAGTTTGCTTTTTTGCTATTTTACATACTATAGCTGACATTTATCAAGGGCAACACTGTGCCAGAATGTGTACTGAAGTTTTTTGCAAACTCTTTTATTGCTTTTTTTTTAACTGAGGATTGATCCCAGAGCCTGTACACTAGCTATATCCCAGCCTTTTTGGTTTGTTTGTTTTCTACTTTGAGGTTCTTGCTAAGTCACTGAGTCACCCAGACTGGACTCTAGCACACAATCTTCCTGTATCAGCCTCCCAAAGTATTCCCCGGTGCACTTGGCTTCCCTTGTCTTTATAACCCACTGCTCCTCCTCAGCTACGTTCGCCTGCCTGAATGTGAGCAATCTCATTCTCTGGGCACTTGTTTGGACCCCAAGCCTCTCTACCTCTCTGCCTTCATTCACATTACTTATACCCCAACTGTTACACACTGTCCATGTGCCTCCTTCATGTAAACTCAACGTTGCTGGCACAGGCCATGCAGCTAAAGTCTGGTTTCCCTAACACAAAGTGGGGAAGTAACTCGCCCTGCAGAGTTGCTGTGGGGACAAATGATAACCTGTGTGGTGTTTGTGTGTCGTGTAGAAAAGACATTGAAAAAGCATTAGTTTTTATTCACAGCAATAATAAGCAATAAAACCTGGAGTTTGGTATATATGTGTTAAAAGATTAAGCTTCTTGCAAGATAAAAAGAAATGCTTGAAGAACTTAGCTTTTAAAGAATCCAGGATCATCTAATTTTAAGGTGAATTTAACAGTATTTTTATACTTAATACATATTAAAGATTGTCCCAGACAATATATAATATGAAAATGAGTTATGAAACATATCTTCCTTTTATGAAATTTTTCTAAGTGATAAAAAACAGAAATACAATAAATTCCCACCAAGAACTAGCATTTGCAACTCTGTGTTATTTGCTTTGACATTTAACTTTTCCCTTAAAAGAAATATTTCCAACTGGACATGGTGGTACATACCCATAATCCCGGCACTCTGGGAGGCTGAGGCATGACAGTGCTAAATTCAGACTCATCCTCGGGAACTTAGCAAGGCACTATTTCACATAAAAAGAAAGGGCTGAGGGTGTAGGTCAGTGATCTGCAGTGCCACAGTCAAGTGTTTTCATTAAAAGTAGAGTTCTTTCTTTTGTTCCCCCCGTCCATTTCCTCTTCCCATTTGAGAGGCCATCATCATCATGAATTTGATATGTATCTTCCCTTTCATTTTTTTTTTGTTTTTTGTTTTTTTTCCTGAGATAGACTCTTGCTATGTAGTTCAGTCTGGCCTTGAACTCTGTGTGGCCCAGGTTGGCCTCAAACTTGCAGCAATCCTCCTGCCTTGGCCTCCAAAGAGCTAGGATTATAAAGCATACACTGCCACACCCATTACCATTCAAGTTTTTATATTTATGCTGATACTAGTTATATAAGTATTTGTGTATGTACTTTTCAAATTCACATAAAATTATCACACTGCAGGAGTGTTACAAAGCTTGCATTCTTCCATTTTGAGAACTAACCTTCAAAGAATATTTAAATGAAGTTAAAGAAAAAAAAGTTCTCACATTCTGATGGAAGTTAATCCGTCTCCAACAATAGCTTCCTATTAATCTGCTGCCGTGTCTGATCATCCAAATGTGTTCATAGGAACTTGTATTATAGAAATTTTAATTCTAGAGAGAGAATGCATTAAATGTCATTGTAGATTTCTAAGTAAAATGGCTAAAAACTTAAGATACCAAATACCTTTGTTCTGCTTTTGTTTGTCTTATTTGATTTGTCGTTTTCAACAGTTTCATCACAGGGCCAGCTGTAATCCCAGGGTACATCTCTGCTGATGTGAATAGTGTGGTACTGGTGTTAAACGGAAGAGAGAAAGCGAAAGTCTTGTATGCCACCCAGTGGTTACTTTATGCACAGAATTTAGTGCTGTCTCAAAAACTCCAGCATGTTGCTGTTGTTCTGCTTGGGAATGAGCACTGCGATAATGACTGGGTGGCCCAGTTCCTCAAAAGCAATGGAGGCTTTGTGGAGCTGCTGTTCATAACATACGACAGCCCATGGGTTAATGATGTGGATGTTTTTCAGTGGCCCCTAGGAGTAGCAACGTAAGTATCAAATGTGTTTAAACATTTCTAGACTCTTAAGACATGAATATCTGAATCGGGAAGATTGTATTGTAAATTATAATATATGCAGTTTTTCTGGGATCAGAGACAATCTTTTCTAAAGATGAAACATAAAGTGTCTCATGCTTCAGTGGCAATATTTTTAGAGTATTTTATCCTTTTATAAGAGAGCAGATAACAGTTACTTTTCTTGTTGTAAAATCCTAAGGAGTACCTTAGAGAGATGTTTACTGAAGAATTAATAATGATAGTAGACAGTATATAACTCATAGTTTAAACTTAGTTTTAAGGCAATGTTATAGCAAGAGGATACTATGCCCTTGGATATAGAATGGCCGCATTTGCACAAATCTTTTCTATAAAAGGTTCATTAAATTATAACTAAGCTTTTCTCAATACAGTCTTTCCCTGCTATAAAATGGAAAACATGCCAGGCATGGTAATGCACACCTGCAGTCCCAGCCCTCCAGAAGCTGAGAGGAGGATCTCTGTAAGTTCAAGCTCAACCTGGGATACATAGTGAGTTCAAAGTCAGCCTGCACTACATAGTGTGTGCCTGTCCAAAAGGTGGGGCAGGGGCTTGGATTTAGCTCAGTGGTGTAAGTGCTTTCCTGGCAAGCTTGAGGTCGTGAGTTTGATCTCCATACCAAAAAAAAAAAAAGTAAAACATCTTTTAGCTGTGCTATTAAAAGCTTTTTAAGGAAAAGCAAGTTGACTTTAAGACAAGTTGCCACTAGTAGAAAAAAATACTCCTGAAGACAGGGGGTTTTTTCCCACTCTTATTGACTGTTGCATCCACAGAGCCTAAAATAGTATTTGCACACAGTAGCATTCAGCAAGTCTTTGGTGGATGGACTTATCTCACTACCATGATTTTGAATCAGATATTCATTATTCTGTCACTGATTACCCAGATGTAGTTTTAGGATACTGCCTAGTTAAGCTGCACCAAGCATGCTTTGGAGACACATTCCCAGGCCTGTTTTTACAGTGTCCTGACTCAATAAACTTTCAGTAGGACCAATCATAAAGAGCTTTGTTAAGTACATCCTGCTGAAAGTCCTCTGCAAAATCTATCCTTTGAGAAAAGACCATATTTGTAAAATGTTTTGAAACATTTTACTTTTCCACAATAACACTCGTGTCTATTCATACAGTATAAAATGGAAACTCATGCTAATTCTGCTATTGCTGTACTAGGCCAACATATTTCTGAAAGATCAGTAGTTATCCGCTAGGAGCAATCCTGCCTCCTTCCCAGGAGATATTTAACAACATCTGGAAAAATGTTGACTGTTGAAAGTGAAGGAAGGAGGTTGTCACAACTGGCAACTGAGGAATAGAGCAGAGATGCTGCTAAATACCCACAAAGTATGGGGCAGCCCCCACAGCAGACACTGCTGTCTCAGTGTCAGGAACGCTGAGATTGGAACCCTGTGATAGGCTAATAGTTATTTATAAACTGTGTTCTCATGTGAAGATAATATTTCAGACACACAGGTTGATCCTTCTTACAAATTCTCATAAGAACAGGGCACTTGCAGTAGGCCTGCTTTATGTGGCATACCAGGTTTCTGTTTGGTTGGTTGACTGATTGGCTGGTTTTTAGATAAGGTATCTCTGTGAGTTCAGGCTGGCCTTGAACTCACTGTACCCCAGATTGGCCTCAAGGTCACAGTGATCCTCCTACATCAGCCTCCCAAGTGCTGGGATTACAGGCTTGTGCCACCACATCTGGCTGGGTTTTTTTTTTTTTTTAATCTATTTGAAAAGATCATTTTAGAGAGCTCTTTACTATGGTAACATATATTCTATAATCTTTCTCTTTTTTCTTTTTCGTTTGTTTAATGGACAAATAATGATTATATCTGTGGAATATGTAGTATCTTGGTATGTATTTGCAATACATAATGTTTAAATCATGTTTAAAAAATCCAACAGTTCACATACTTACGTTTTTTGTGGTAAAAATATGTTAAAATCTTTTTACCAATTTTGAAGTATAAAATGCATAATCACAATTGTTTATGATAGATTGATAAAGCATATTCCTATGTGAAACGTTATACCTTTGGATCAAAATCTCCCTTGTTACAAGTATTCAGTGTCTTCCCATTACCAGACTGAAACATTGATTAAACTATGATCATTGTGAAAGCAGATAAACCTTTATATTTTGAAGGTCTTACATTCACCATGCATAATAACTGCAAATGAGTAATATGAGTTGTGAAAATAAATATTTAATTTTTTAAAAAAATTATAATAAAGGACACGTCTCCATTAACTTCACTCAAAACATTCCCTTCACTTTAAACACACTTAGCTCTTCAGTGCCACTTTCTGAAGCAATTCTGTAAGTCCTCTTTCATGAGTGTTTTTAGTTGCACTATAGTAGCTGCCTCAGTGTCCTGAATCAATTGAAAACATTTACCTTTCATGAGCGTTTTGACTTTGAAGAAGAGCCAGAAGTCACACAGTGCCGGATCCAGTGAATAGGCAGGTGAGAACACACAGTGGTGTTTCATAAGCCTGCCTTTCTATTAGACGGCATTCAGCAGCAGCATTCACTATATTTTTTTATCACATCTTAAGAAGACATAAAAGAAAGAACCACTTGAAACAGTGGCAAGGACAATGCAGTAAGTGTGTTCCAAGCAGTTGAGACAACAGTATTTTGAGTGGGGTTAATAGCAATATGTCTTTTATGGTAATAAAATTTTTTTAATTATATGTTCACTATATATTTTGATCAGACCTTGTAGGCATTAAAGAATGCCAAAAACAGAAGACTTTAGGCATGAAATCTTTGATATTTTTTAAAGAGATACCAGTGTGAAAAAGTGAATCATTTTTATGTCTTTTCTGTATACATAGTGCTACCTAGGAAGTTGGGTTATGAAAATTTTGCCAATCCTGTATCATGTAATAACTCATATACTTGTTTTTATAGATACAGGAATTTTCCTGTGATGGAAGCAAGTTGGTCCATGGTGTATGATAAGAGACCATACTTATGTAATTTCTTAGGAACTGTTTATAAAAATTCATCTAGACAGGAACTAATGAACATTTTGAAACAAGATGGGAACGATAAGCTTTGTTGGATTTCACCAAGAGAACAGTAAGTTCTGTGTTTTCTCAATTAATCTATTTTGTTCTCCAGTCTGAGAGTAGCTTTATATGAAAGCACTGAAGGTTTTAAAGAAAAAGTATTCACTCCATTTATACCATTCTTTCTCCAGAAGATACATTGGTAATTAAAACTGTGAAAGACCTTGACTGCATAGGTGTTCATGGGGTGCAGGAAGTCCTGGGAGCTGAACCCAGGGCCTTAGTGAGATGCAGCCCATTTCATTTTTTATTTTGAGACAGAGTCTCACTAAGTTGCCTGGGCTGGGCTCAAATTTGATCCTCCTGCTTTAGTCTCCCAGAATGCTAGGATTATAGGCATGTACCATTATACCCAGTTTCATTTTTTTTTAATCATAGAAGATATTCTCTTGTATGTATAACTCCGTACTCTACTGTAAACATAACCATTATATTCACCCAACATTCATTAAGCAAATACTGTATACCAGAAACTCGTATCCATGATAAATACAACAGTGAACAAAACAGCTCTTGCCCCACTGTCACTTCTGTGCTTATTGAAGGAGGCAAACAAGTGAGATGCATCAGAAAATGATCCATGCCATGAAAAAGAAATTAAGCAGAAGAAGGGCAGAGAGAGAAATGGGAGTTGGGGACACATTAACTGCTGTTTTCAAATACAAAGGAAGATATTAGTTAGAAAGTGACACTTAAGCACGGTGCTAAAGAAGGTGCAAGGGTCATCCTTGTGTTTATTAGGGAGAAGTGTTCCAGGCAGAGGAAAGCAATTGCAAAGGCCTTAGGGTAGGAGTGTGCTTCCTGGGGCAGGGGAGATGTCTGGTATGGAATGAATAATTCAGTGCAGTGCCCCAAAGTTTGGTAAAGGAATACTCTTATTCTTATAACTCCCTCATTCCTTTGAGCCTGAGATCAAGTGGGCATCTTCCTTGCTGCTTATTCTTCTTCCAGACCATTCTTTCCTTTTCCTACCTAACACCCCCAGTTTTCACTCTCATGCTGGCAGGCAAAACTGCCATTACTTTGTTCTCTAAAATCATAGTCTGATCCTTGAGCTTCTCCCACTAGTTCCCTGAAGAGTATAACTCCTGGTACACTCACCCTGTCTCACACTAGCTTGGTCTTAATTCCTGATGACTGAGAAATCTGGGTGTGGTTCTCCCATCATCTTGGTCTTTCATTTCTTTAACTCCTCTCCTCCAGTGAACTGACCTCAGGCATTTCCTATCATACTCATTTTCTAGATCTTTTCATTATGCCTGGACATCTTTTCAGCATGGTCTTAAATTCCAGCATCTCTCTCTCTGTTACCACCATATCTCGACCTTCTAGCTCATTCATGACTGAACCTGAAATGTCCCTAATCATATGTCTCCTTGGCCATGTCTTCTTTCACTCTCTGGAAAACTGTGTCATGCCTTTTTTCTCCTCAACTCTTAACACCTCTTCCCCTAGTCTCTCTTACTTTATGAGCTATTGCTTATTTCACTGAAAATATAAATAAAGGGAACCATTTTTAGTCATAACTAATTCTCAGCTTCTGCCCTTGTCCTGTGGTACTATGTTTTCAACACAACAGCCAAGTTGAAAATGATGAAACCTAAGTCAGGTCACCCTTTGACCAAAGTCCCCAGAACCATTCAGACCTTGTCTTCTGTCAATCCCCTTGGTTCCTTTGCTTCAGCCACCCTGGGCTCCCTCCTGTTCTTGAAGCCCAGTGCTGTTTACTTGGTCTCCTCCCAGATCTGCACGTTGTGTTCCTTCATCTCCATGTCTGCCTGTGCTCACAGACAACTGAGTGAAATATTCCCTAGTCACCTGTTTCAGATCACAGCTCCAAGGCCTCCTGAAATTCTCTCTCCATTTTCTGTTTTATCTTTCTGCATGGCATTTAATACCTTTAGAAAACTTCCTGATTTGATTAGAACCAGAATACAAGTTCCATGCAGGAAGAGAACCAGGCATTGAGAAAGTAGGCATTGAAGTAATATTATTTATTTAATGAATACCACCATATTTTTTAAATCAGCAGCTATAAAATGTTCAAATTTTTAAGAAATCTGATAACTATCATCTCTGATGTTTGTATCATTTTCTATAATTGACATTAAAAGATAAAATATCTCCTTTCACAAAAGATAACGCTTCCTAAAATAAAATCTACAGTTGTTTTTTCTGATATTCTAGGTGGCAGCCTCAGGAAACAAACGAAAGTCTTAAGAATTACCAAGATGCATTGCTTCAAAGTGACCTCACGCTGTGCCCAGTGGGAGTCAACACAGAATGTTACAGAATATACGAGGCCTGCTCCTCTGGCTCTGTCCCTGTGGTGGAGGATGTGATGACGGCTGGCAGATGTGGAAACACATCTACTCAACACAGTGCCCCTTTGCAGCTGCTCAAGTCGATGGGTGCTCCCTTCATCTTTGTTAAGAGCTGGAAGGAACTTCCTGCTATTTTAGAAAAAGAGAAAATTACAAATTTACAAGAAAAGATTCAAAGAAGAAAAATGTTACTTCAGTGGTATCAACACTTCAAAAGAGAACTAAAACTGAAATTTACTAACATTTTAGAAAGGTCATTTTTAATGAATAATAAAGGTTAGCTTAATACGGTTTGTTTGTTTGTTTGTTTTGGGGGTTTTTTTTAGACAGATTCTCACTGTGTAAGTCAGGCTGACCTTGAATTCAGTATGGAGTCCAGGCTGGCCTCGAATTCATGGTAATTCTGCATCAGTCTTCGAATGCTAGGATTACAGGTTCGTGCCCCCACACCTGGCTAATCTTTTGAGATAGATGTGATATTTTAAAATCATTTCTAATGCAAAATATATGGATATGTATGTGTGTTTGTGTGTATTTGTGTCTGTGTTTGTAAATGTTCTTTAAAGTACTTCTCTTACTGGACTAGTCCTGTGTACAGGCTAAAAATGAGGGCAAAATACTGCTCAGATTCATTTCTACCAAGTTGAATGATTAACATTTATCAACTTTCCTCACTCATTTAAACCCTCCTTATGGAATAGTGGTTACCAGGAGCTGGAGAATTTGGGTGGGTAGTTTTAAGAATCAATACTATTCAAAGACAAAATTTCAGTTAGGAAGAATAAGTTAATAAGCTCTATTATACAACACAATGACTGTGTTAATAACAGTATAGCCTTAAAATGCTAACAACAGATACTAAGTGATAACTGCATGAGGTACAGTAGTTTATATGTTAGTTAGTTAGATATGGTCTCTCCACGGTCACACATAGTAGTGCACGTATATAATCCAAGCTGTATGGGAGGCTGACGCAGGAGGATGGCAAGGCCAGCAGCCTTGGCAGTTTAGATCTTATCTCAAAAAGGAATAGATACACCTTAGTGGCAGAGCACTTCTCTAGCATACAAGAAGTCCTGGGTTCCATTCACAGTGTAGCCAAAGGGGGAAAAAAGTACACAATAGTTCATGTGCTAATTTAACTTTTCATTCTGGGAAAGCACCATTATATAGTCGAAAACCTGTACTTTCAGACACAGTGTGAGGTCACTCCTCAAAACTACACAGCCCACCTGGCTGCTTACCACAGAGGGCAGTAACACCATGTCCTTCACAACCTGCTGCTGCTGCAACTTTTCAGGGGATCTCCCACTAACCACGCCTTCCCTGTGATCTCTGACCATCTCCCACCCAGTCTGTGCGGTAGGGTGATCCCCAGGGACCCTGCAGTGACATTCTGTGACTTCTTGCAGAGAGTAGCTCAGTCTTAATAAACTCCTTCCCAAAGTGGCTTCTGACTACATAATTACAGGCAGATAACTTAGGTAGAAATTAGTATATAGTCAGAGGAACTGGACACTCAAGTCAGTGAAAATAAAGATACCAGAATTATGGCTGGAGGCACATCTGAAGAAGGCAAGGCCTCCAGGTAAAGTCACAGTGGCCAGACTTGCATGCTTCCCTAAGGGAAAAGCACAATTTGAGACTACACTATAATTAGTACCACCTAGTCTATTTGTAACATGATTTGAGAAAGTTACCCATGAGAAACTGAGTCAAGAAACAAGTGAGTTTTATTTTAGAGCTGCAGTGGTCAGTAGCAAATTAAAGCAGTTAAAGCTACTGACCTTGATTTTTTGTTGTTTCCTTATATACTCATGTATATGAGTTCACAAAGTAGGGGTTCCAATGGATACCACTTGCAGCACCATCATTGCTTTGGAATGTTATAAGACCTTACACATTTGGTTAATTGACACACAAGATTATAGGCACTGGGTAGTTTGGTCACCTTGAGATAAATCTATTTGTTCTCTTTCTGTAGTTTTTATGGCCAGTTGAGGAAAAGAAGGGATTGGACCAAAGTTCATTTGCTTCTTAAAGTATAACTGCTAGCTAAGCATCTACACTATAATCTGTAGGCTGTAAAATAAATGAAATTTTCAAGAATAAGGGTTGGGGGTTTCAAAGAGAAAAAAAGTAAATAGGATTATGAATGCCCTCACACATTAAAATCCAGATATACATCAGACTCCTGAGTGGGTGAGCAGCACACCTGGACCCATCCTTTTCCCAAATGTTCCTGTCTTAGAAGTCATAGATAAACAGGGTTAATGATGTCAGCCATGTGCCCTAGGTGCTGTGCATCCTTATTGGACCAGTATTAGCTAAGTGGCTATACTTATAATCCTGTAGGTTGATAGTAGTTTAATCCATGTGGCACCCACATTGCAACTTTGCTGTACAAATTATCCCTGAAAAAGGGCCTTGATAGCAACCCACTCAAGACCCTTTCTGTATCAGGAGTTATTCCTAATCCCCAGTAAACCTTTCCTATTCTTAATCTCCATTGTCCTTTGGAATTCATTCTTTGATTTCAGAGGACACAAAAGCTGTACATCTGACATCCAGCAGGTTGGGAGTTACATTTTTCCTATGTCAATACCACTCCCAAGTATGGCAAACACTGAAGTGGGTTTCTTCTCCAACTCTGTCTAACCTGCTGCATGCAAGAAAGCACTTTCAACCCCACTCACAATGGCATGGTGGTGGGGATAGTGCTGCTCCCCGTTGTTTCTCCTTGAAGCTGCTGACCCTCTCTGTACATACCTTGTGTTGAAAGAAACAAGCCCCCTCCCCAGGGTGTCAAACTGTCTTACTCTTTTCTCTTGTCTTCAGTTTCTCTGCAGTTTTTTGGGCTCAATCAGTAATTTTGCCTGGCTTATGTTTTCTCAGGGAATAATTAACTAAAGAATCCTCAAGGCTGTTCTATAGTTGAACTCCTGAAAAGCTAGGGAACGTCAATGTTTCTTTTTCTGATCTCATCATATAATTGGTCCTGAAAAGCTAGGGAACATCAATGTTTCTTTTTCTGATCTCATCATATAATTGGTCATAAATATTGCCCTATACTTTCTTAGATCTTGAGTTCCCAGAAGTGTATCCCTTTATCAGAAGGATAAAGGACCTAGCTTTGTCATCACATTGGAGATTACGGATGCCTGTCCAAGTGTTACCAATTCTAAGGGCACACACTCAACTGATTCCTCCTGCTAAAGGCAAAGGGATAGACCATATGCTAGGGCATGAAGAATGGCATGAGATAGAGACCAGCCAAGACCACCAGGCTTGTGGAAGGGCAATGTGGCATGGACTTTAGAGTACCTGGACATAGGCAGATAGTGAAATGTCCATCTTTAGGGAAAAAAAAGCAATAGGCTTTTTTAACAATAGGGCTTCAAAGAAGACAAGGAACATTAAGCAGAAAGATCTTAGTAAACATCAGTGGTCAAAGTTCTCTAGGTGTTTCATGCTTCAGTGAGCAAAGCCCTTGGGGTTTCTGCTATAAATGTTTGGGTATCTTCAAGTGTCCAGGTATTTTGGAAGATTCCGTGCTCCATCTTACCTCTTTTATGACATCTTGCATTTGCCAAGGACACCGGTGCTGAGTTGAAAACAGTGCCTCTCCTGGCAGAAAAGTTGGTACTGGGAGAGTCATGTCTGAATTGAGCCTTACACAGGAAAGGCACTGGCTGTTTTTTTGTTTTCTTTTTTCTAAAATGGATGATACCATCCAAGCCCCTCTCCTTGAAAAGGTGCCATTAGCAGCCTGCGAGGGGAGAGAACCAGGCCTCACAAGGAGGTAATCCCCACCTGGAAACTAGTGCCATGCATGGACTGCTGCCAGAGTAGGGACAGCCAGACCCAAACTTCTCTGTGTGAATCAGTGCCATTCACAAACTGCACGGGGGGGGGGTGGGGGTGGGGGGTGGGATGAGGCCTCACCAGGAGGCCTCATGGTGATCTGCACCTGGAAATCATATCATTTTCATTGTTTTCTTGGGTTGGATTTTATTCTCTTTTGTTCTGTTTGATTATGTTAAATCTGATGGCATGAGCAGCTATTTAAAAGATAGCAAGACATTATGGTAGCCATTTTGGATTTACTATTAGCTTATTTTTAAATCCTTTATTACATTTATTATTTTGTTTTTATTATTTCTGCTCTGTTCTGTTTGATTTTTACTATGTCTGAAAGTATCTGCAGCTATTTTGAAGAGAACAAAAGACATTATGGTAACTATTGTTGGTTTTGTAAGGTTTTGAAGTCCTATATCACTTGTACTGGTTTATTTTGATTGATTTTATTCTGTTTTATTTTCCTTGGTTTTATTCTCTTTAAAATAAAAAAAATTTAATGAGTAATATACTTTTCCTAAAAATACTCTAAAACTTTTGATGGTTTCTCAAGGATTCACAGCCTGATGGAGTAGATGATTACATAAGTAGGTACAAAATGCATAAAGAATTCCACTAGATGTTTACAAAGAGCTATGGAAATTCAGAGAAAGGACTGTTTAAAAGTACACTTGGTATACTTGTCCTGCATGGAATTTAAAGGTGAACAGATATGGTTGCATCTTTCAGTACCAATAAAAGGACAATGGGGCACCTTTGGGGTTTGTTTGTTCATTTATTTATCTCCTTTGAGACAAATTAAGGCTAAGAACTCCCAGGAATGTTGGTTCAGGAAATCAGAGATAAGAAAGGAGATGAGAATAGGGTGCTCAAACCACTGCCTATGGATCTACAGAACCACAAGTCAATGCAGATGGGGTTTCAGACACTTGTATGCAAGACATATTCCAATATTCCCTGTGGATGCCTAAACAGACAGTACTATATATGCACAACTGTGTATTTTTTATATCTACATTAAAATTGAGAACTTTCTCCTTTCCTTTTAAAGGAAGTAGTCTACAGCTTCTCTTTAGCTTGCCCAGCTTCTTGTTGGCTGTTGCTTTTGGGGCAAAGATAACCAGCCAGTGGACTGTAACTCCTTTTGACTATATAGGTCCCTGCAAGGCTCCATTAGCAAAAAATCAGGCAGCATGGCATGCAGACTGAACAACATTCTCTTCTGTCTAATTTTTGCTGGGATGTTATTTAATAGGGCACATAAATCTATCTTAATTATCCCATGGACAGTAGCATTGGCTACCAATAATTCACCAGTGAAATAGTAATTTTCCAAGTTCCAAACAGTGTGTTATGAGGTATCTTCTTAGGGTCTCCATAAGGAAGAACACATAAGAACAAGATTATCAGATACATTTGTCAATTTAAAGCTT